AGTAATTGTTGGCATGAGACAGAGTGGAATTTTTCAAGTTTCCTCTCAGTGCTGGAAACCAAGACATTTCCTGAGAGAGAGACTTCCAGTTCATTATTTTCTGTTGCTGTTTGTTTGTCCTCTTGTTTGGAAACAGGGTCTTACCATGTAGCCTAGGCTGGCCCAGAATTTGTGATCCTTTTGTTTTGCCTCCAGAATTCTGACTCTGCCCATACCTGACTCAAGAATCATTTGCATTATTTGTATACAGCTCATTTTATACTACTGTTGTTCATGTCTGTGGTCTGGTCTTGTGTAACTAAGACATTAGCTTTTTGACTCTAGAGGCACAAACAATAGATCATCCACAGAAACATGGATTTGCAGCACTGGAACTCTTTGAAGGACCAGACACGTCATGTTTTACTTTAGTAAAGGGAAAAAATAATTAACCCTCTGTGTAAAGAATCACACAGTTTGAAAAAGTTGGTATGTGTATGGTCGTATGATCTGTATAGAGGTAAGGCCTTTGCCCCCAGGAAGCCTATCATTGTGTGAAGAGAAACAGAAACAAGTGTCTGAAACAAGTTCAAGGCAGCATGCATCTACCCAGCTCCTACTGTGTGCTCATTAGAGAGTGAACTAGAAGCCAAATTGATCTGGAAAGTGAACACGTGAAAGTATTCTAGTAAGACAATATTTATTTTAATACAGTAATTTGAATAATAGAACAGAGGTGTGGGTTACCTGCTGGGGCAGAATTAACCAGCTGATAGCATGCTATTAGGTCATTGGTGAACCACAGCAAGAGGCTGCTGTGGGAGGGAAGGAAAGGGCCATGACTGTTCATACGTGAGATCGAAACAGGGGAAGGGAAGAGAATGAAATCATCTCTGAAAAAGGCCAACCATTTTAATATGCTTGCTACCAGTATTTTCCTGCAGAAAATTCCATAAGCCTACAGAAAACTATTCCTGGGCTTACTTGAGAACAGGTGGGATACTTGGTCTTCTGTACAGTTCCGACAATTAGGAGATTTGAATTCTCCAACAGCCCACAGAACGTAGCTAATGTCTTATGAAAACCTACACGATTCGAAGATGCCCAGGCTCTGGTGGATTTTATTTCATTCAACCTTGTTGGGTTTTGCTGGATATGAACAGGACATAAACATATAATTTGGGGTTTGGTGGTTTGATTCAAAGGCCATATTGATTACAGTCACGTACAAAAATGGGATGTGCATACATGCACATATATATGATATATAAGCATGCACGTATAGCATATACATTTAGTAACAAACTTTAAATCTGACTTTGCTCCAGTCTTAACATCCTTTGTTTCTTTTTCAGTGTGTACTAATTGCACAAAGTGGCAGTTTTCATTGTGATATATTTAAACATGCATACAACCTACTTTGAATTTACTTGCCCGTAAATATTCTTCAAATTTCCTTTTACTCAGAGGCAACCACCATTTTTAATCCTTTTGTGATCTTTTCAGCTTTTTTTCTGTTTTTAATGTCATTCTACATTTTTCTCATTGGTTCTTCGACATTCCCTTCACTGCAGAACATTTCATGAAAGTTCACATCAGTGTGCTGAGTACAGACCCTGTCTTCAGACACAGTTCTCTTGGTGAAGAAGTTTCCACAGTAGCCCCCCCCCCCTGACCCGTCCCTAGCCCCCTACCCCATTACCTGCAGTTCTGTTTCAATTACCCACAATTACCAGAGCTCAACTTCTGTCCGAAGAACCAAGCGAAAAATACCGGAAAGGAAGGCCCTTGGGTTTCAAATTGTGTAACATTTTGGGTAGCAGGATGAACCCACACTCTATCCAGTTCCATCCTGTGTGTGGAGAAACACCCCCCCCCCCATCTACTGCGTCCATGCTGAGTAGGTACATAACCACAATTACTTAACAGATGTCACAGTGGTCAGAGTTGCTGTCAGAGTTCCAGACATGTTCAAGTATCCTTTATTTTACTGAGGAATGGCCCCAAAGCCTAAGTGTAGATATTAGACAAATATCATGATATTTGTCTATTTTATTATTATCTACTGATACAGAAGTGTCAGTCTGCTGACTTGTCTCTCTTATTTGCCATTGCTTAGTTCCATGATTTTCCATGTGAATATTATAATAACTTAATTTCTTCTAAGAAGCCAGCTGAGACTTTGCTAGCAAATGCACTGAATATGTTGTTAAATTTGGATTGTATCGTTGTCTAACAGAATCAACATGTTTGATGTAGGAGGGTAGGATAACTTATGATTTGTTTAGGTCCTGGACCTTATACAACATAGATTTTTGTTTAGGCTGGTGTCAAAATTGTAAATTTGTCTCAGATAGTCCAAGCCACACTCTGAGCAACAATAATCTGAAAGGTTGAGGCCATTCCTTACCAGGGTTTGGAGGCAGGAAGACCAGCAGGTCAAAGCCAGTCTGGGCAACATAGGAGAGCCTACTTCAAAAACAGTTGTTACAAATTTTCAAAGAGTTATACACGTATAGGCAATAAGGAGAGCCGAATGTTCAAATGAATCAAGAATTAATTGCATTCCACTGGACAGTTCATTTGCATTTCTGTGGGCCTGTATTTACATTACCATTCATTTTCTACAATGTACAATTACAAAGCAGCCCAAAGTCAATGAGATAGCCCACAAGGCTACACTCAAAAGGACACCCAGGAAACTTTTTAGAAAATCTTTCACAAGTTTTTGTGAAACATAAAAGACCTCTTCTTAATTCCCATGGGAAACCAAACCAGCATGAATAACGCAAATGCTCTGTGAGGCAGACATGGGCGTTTCTACTTGAGAAGATCAATATACATGTTTTCCTTCTCTCTCTCTCTCTCTCTCTCTCTCTCTCTCTCTCTCTCTCTCTCTCTCTCTCTCTCTGAATTCTGTTTTTCCTCTTATTATTACTTGGGAAGTTATACACTTATTTTTTGTATTTTTGTTAGCTTTTATATTCTAACAGGTTTATCTGAGCAAATTCTAAAACAAATCAGTGTCTTTACATCCTAAAGCACATGTTTCTGGAACATTATAATTCTTGGCTCGAATCTGTCTTTGATTTCCACTCATGTTCAGACTGTCTAAAAGGCTAAATTAATTAGTGTTTAATCTGGAACCAACTTTTTACCTCAATAAACTTTAACCTACGGAGAAGCTGAGGCAACGTGTTGATGAACACCCTGGGATCCTTCACTTCCATCCCTCAACTGTTGATATCCTGTCACCTGTGCTTTCCTTCCCCCATGTTCATGCCAGACCTCATGACACATGAATCTTAAGCATACTGGCACGCCCCCACAAAAACAACGACCTTCTTTACAAAGGTACAGTGCCGTCATCACATCCAAGAAATTATGGCTAGGACAAGAACACTGTCCACTCTCCAGGCCCTCATATAATCTCCCCACTGGCACTTAAGATGTTGTTTTTAAATCCATCAGTTTCTCGAGGACTACACACTGAATTTCAACCTCACATTTTTTTAAAAGTTTTCTTTGGGGTTTGTTTGTGTGTGTGTGTGTGTGTGTGTGTGTGTGTGTGTGTGTGTGAGTGTATGTGTTTCCATGTGCAGGAGACTAGAAAACAAACTGGGATGTTACCCACCCCCACCCCCTTTTTCAGACAAAACCTCTCCCTGGCCTGGAACTCACCACTTACGGAATAGGCTAAGCTGGCTTGCTAGCCCTAGGAATCCACCCGTCCACACCCCTCCAGTACAGAGATCAGAAGACTTTATCATCACACCCAGTTCTGGGGCTCAAACGTAGGTTGTTGGACTTACAAGGCAAGTGCTTTACCTAGTGAGCTACCTCCCAGCTCCAGCGTTTTCATCTTAACTCAGCCTTTTATTTTCTTTCATAAACTTCACCCTTCTTTTCTATGGCCCATCGCGGTAGCACTGGACTTAGGTGCATCTTATGAATTTCTTAGCTTGGCATTATAATACATTATACATCACTTAGATTCAGACTTTGCATCCCTAAGCAGAGCATGCCTAGGGTTTTAATTTCTTGTAGTTGATTACAACTCAATACTCCAGTATGGGTAGATAAATATGTCCTTCCAGTTATCACAGGTATTTTTACCTTCTGTTCCACTGTGTAACAATCTCTCTGAGCCCTGTATTTACATATGACCCATTCCAAATTCTCTGCCCTCACTCTCCACAGTCTAGTTTTGTTTCCCCATGTACTCCAAGCTTCCACTACAGACCATTGACGTGCTTTTGATTTCCCATGGGCCTCTTGTCATCACCTCTAGCTCAGTATTCTCCTCTTGAGTTAGTCTTCATGACTACAATAGAAGAATTCCCTTTTCCTAGGTTTACTCTGTACTATCTATTTAAGGATTTTTGTTTTGGGGGACAAGGGAGTGATATATCACCTGATATCTAAATGTCTATGCAGCAGCTTGAAAGAATTCCTAGATGTCTTCTAAAACTTCTGGACGTTCTAACTCATTGTTGCATGCCACTTCTTTGCTTTGCAGTAGGCTGAGGTAGACAGAATTCATGTCTGTGTAAGTGACAGTGACCATTTCGACCAGCTGTATGGTTCTTACAGTGAAGAGAAATTTCCAGAAGAGCAGGCAAGCTGCAATGTGACAAGTGCTAATCCCCAAGGAAGAATGCCAAAGACAGTTTCAGCCAGTTTCTGTGATCCTGAAATTTTACCCTTAGGAATGACTTTTAAATGTTTATCTCGTTTTTTAAAGAGTTTTAAAGAGAAGGGTATCATCATCAATGGCTGTTACTTCAGTAGATTTTCAATGCCACAATCAAATTATTTTCTAGTAAATAGTTACTAGAAAAAAAACTACAATTTACACATTAAATTTTAAGAAGAAGAAAGTAATATGAGAAGGCCCAGAATATAAAAATGTTTAAGGTGAAGCACAGTTTACTAACTCAGTTACTGCAGAAACAATACACAGAATATTTTAATACTCCAGAGCATGATTTATTCTCACAGCAATTATAACTGGAGTTTAAGATTCATTTGCTATTACATTGTTCATAGTGCCGGAAGATACTCTGTATGCTACCAGAGCAGAAAACTAATCAGTATCTCCCAGCTACAAACCTTATGACCTAGAACAATGATCTGCCTGCAAGACTTACTTGTACAATAGTGGCACAAATGTTGTGAGACTAAACAAACACTGTTTCCTTTTTCTAATCTAAGGCCTACCCTTGTGAGACAGAATCCATGTTGGATACTGCTGAAGTGATGAAGACCCTGAGACTAAATAAGTCATGTTTCTAGGAGGAAACCTACTGTTAAATAAAATGACCCACAACAGCATGTTGCCATAATCATAGACCAGAGAATACTCAACCCTTATCAGAAAAATCTTTCCTTGCAGTAGATGTGAATTAACGTAGAGACTGACAACTGGACGATACACAGAGAGTAAGAGACTTGGAGTCCTAAATGGGATGTCTTCCTCATATTTTGCCCTTCAAGGTTCAGGTATCTATAGAGAAAGGTGGGGTAGAAAGATTGCCGAAGCCAGAGATGTGCTCTAAGAAAAGAGTTTCTTCCAGATGCAACAGGACTAAAGCACGTGTGAACTCACAGAGAATGTGACAGCATTCAGAAGATCCTCACAGATCAAATGAAAATCCCAGCACTGAGAAGGGAGCACAGGCAAAGCCCCATTCCTAATCAAGAAGCTGTTTGCAATTGATAACTGCTGGGAAAAGACCATCCGTGTTCTTCCGTGGAGTATCACTGTGTATGTTAATCACATTCCTGGGCAGGTTCCATGCTTGGGAGCAGTTGGCCAACACAAAGTGGACTCAATTTTGTTTTGGGGTTTTCTGGACTATTGCTTTGTTTTAGAGAGAAAGGGAGAAGAGAGAGGGAGAGCGTGGGGCTGGGTGAGTAGGGAGGTAGAGAGGAAGAGAGAATCTTGGAAGAGTTAGGGTAAAGGAAAGCATGCTCAAGGTGTAGTGTACGAAAAACTTCTGAATTCAAAAAGAAAGTGTTGAGTTCTTGCTTTTTCTCTAGAATGCTAACAGCACCTGAATACCCTTCAAGTATGAGCCTTGCTTTGGCTTCCAGGTGCCCTGCCTATAGAGGAGGCATTGTTTCCAGGCAATAGAGACTGTTTTAAATACCAGAAATAAATTTGGATTGAGGAGTAGATAAGAAATGTAGGTTCATATTTTTTGTTTTTTCCAGACAGGGTTTCTCTGTGTAGCTTTAGAGCCTATCCTGGAATTCACTCTGTAGACCAGGCTGGCCTCAAACTCACAGAGATCCACCCACCTCTGCCATCCAAGTGCTGGGATTAAAGGCGTGGGCCACCACAATACAGAAATTTTTGAGACTAGATGTTACCAAAGAAAGAATTATTTCAATTTTTATCATAAATCTAGTTAAGCTTGACTCTTATGTTATGTCTGTGTTATCACTACTGGACAGGGTGTGGAGCCACAGCTGGAGGAAGGACACAGCCCTTACCATTGGTTCCATAAAAGTCTGCTAAGAAACCGAAACACCAATTCTGGAAATTCATATACTAAGAAGAAAAACAACCTTTGAAACCTGAAAAACCAGATCCTAGTAAAATACGGACGCCATTATGGTAAATACAATGTGAAAATAAAACATATTTGACAGTTCATATACAAAAAGACATTTGGTGGTGTGATCTTCACCCAGCTCCTCCTATAGCAACTTCTTTTCTCTGCTATGCTTTTTCTTTGTTACCAGCAATGGGAGTAAAAACAGATGAATGAACGCATTGGAAATTACAGTGCTGTCAAACCCTGGACAGACAAAGGTGGCAGAATGTGCTTTCTGTTTTGTAGCTCCTGAAAGAGGTTTATAATGTTAACTTCTAGAAAACAAAGCCAGAAAAAAAACTATAAAAGACTATCCAAATTCTCTCTTCGAGCACTTTTAACTCTCAGTTGGTTTCTTACTTTTTACCCTCAAATCTGCATGTTCAACTTACTTTCAACCTCAGTTATTTTAAATACACACGGGTCAAACCAAGGCAATGTTCTTGAAAGCACACCCATCTTGCTTCCAACCCACTGGAACCTTCCATTCCTGTCCCCAAGATCTTGCAGCATCCTAGATTCTGTCACCCTCCCTCCCTCTGCATGTTTCCTACCCCCCCACCTCATAGGCGATACTGTCCCCATCCCCAAGGCCACTGTAGAGAAAGCCACTCTTACCCCACGCAGGTTGGTCCTGTGGACATCCTTGGTTCCTCCTCCCTAGGCCACAATCTCCGGTCCCCAGTGCAAACTTTCTAAAATACAAATCTGATATCATCTAAAGCCATTTGCAGTACCAGTTGTTGCTGTGGGATCAAGACATTGACTCAGTTTACTATTTGTGTCACTTACTAAAAGATTTAGTAACTGATGTGACTCAGTGCCCCTAGAGAGTATTTTTATACTTTTCCCTGAGGCCTCTAATCCCCCCAGAGAAGTCAAGCTTTTTCTCAGATTAAATATGTAGGGAATGCATGATTCTTTAACTTTCTTGAAAAATAAAATGTAGCTATAGAATAAGGAGCCAAGCCTGAAAGCCCTTAGTAAATAAATAGATGGGAAATGACCATCCTGGGTCAAGGACTTCTCATGGGAGGTTCCATGGTTACACTTCTCTTTCCTGAGCAGGAAAGGTCACACTGTAGGCAAGAGTCCCTTTACTGTTTTGACATTCATATACTAGTTTGTTGTTTCAAGACAACCATCACACAGCTGTGTCCAGGGAGACAGTTAATGACAGGCCACAGCACACACAGTTCTTCTGCAGACCACACCTAATTCTTTTATACTGGTTAAATATTTAAGAACACCAAAGTTCCGCGTTGAGAGACACTGTACACCTCAAACCATGCCAACCTAAACCAAAAGGTCCTTAAAATGTCAGGGATCTCTAAGGCTTTAGGCTAATCATCCACCTCTAGGATGACACAAAACACTAACTTCCAAACTGAATCGGCCCTTCTTCAATCAAAGCTGTGCTTCCCAAGAGCTCATTGGATGATTCTTCTAGTGTCCAAGTGGGCTTCTTGGGGAATGGTTCTGTGCTTTGGGCTTTTCACTGCTTTGTCAGATTTCCTGCTTTGAGAGCCTGGCAACCCTACGTAAATCTCCTTCTACCACTGGCCGGCATTCTGTAATGAAGATGCTAGAGAGACACAAGACTCAGACATTCACATCCGTAATTTTAACTCACGCGTTCCTTCTGTATTTGCTCTCTGTCCCTGTCTTTAGGCCCCTTTCTCTTGTGGCCTACTTTTGTGATACAAAACAGAGAAGGGGAAGTTTCTAATCCATCTGTTTGATTCGTTTCTTCATTTCAACTGGAAAATAACTTAAACACACACACTAAAACCTGTAGCTTGCACTTACACACATGTTATGCTATTAATCGATGTGAACAACACACAAGCCTTCAGGTTTTCACTGCTGACCTAACTCCACAGACTCAGTTAGTATTCCTCCTCACTGAAATTTCCTGCTACTGGCCATTTGGTAGAAATAAATGAGCTGACTGTAGTATTTTGTATGGTTTCTTAGCAATAGTGACAATAATTCCTATGTATGCCTCAATGTGTACATATTTAATAACTAGCTCTTTGAAAGGCATAAAGATACAACAGTGCTAATATTCATCAACAAAATAGCTAACTACACTGTAGTTCACTCTGGCCTTGAGCTTGTCATCCCATGCCCATACTGAGTGTTGAGATTATAGAAATACCACCATGCTCAGGTTGTCAAAGAAATCTTTCATAACCAACAACAAGTAACCAAATAACACTCAACATATAAAATTGAAAATGATAGCACTAACCCAGCATTTACTCATAGTTATGATTTTTATTTAGTAAGCCAGTGGCAATAGTTGTAAACCTTACTCAACTCCTGAGGCCGACAGAGCTCTGAGAAAAAGCTAACTTCTGGTTCTCCTCATAGGAGGTTTCCAGGGCTGGCAAGCTGCATTAGACTAGTCCCATGCAGAATGTCACCTTGCTTAAATTCTAGCAAGGTGCTAAATAGTTTGTGAACTATACAACCAACCATTCATAATAGTGCATTTGCAATTTAACTACTTAGAGTCTCTAGTTCTCCTTAAAAGTGGATGGATTCAGAAACACCCACCACTGGTTAGAAGTGGAAGTTACGCTGTGTCCTGTTGCAGCAGCTAGAGTCCAGCAGAAAGCTCTACAGCAGCCTGGGTTTGGAAATGTCCCCCAGGAAAGCCAAGTGTCATGGCTTCATCCCCTTTAGGAACAACAGACATTCCTGACAGAACGGAGCTGGTTGTTTTTCAAGTTCCAGGATGCTGATGTGTTTTCCCTCTTTGATATAAAGGTCCCTTAGATGAAATGACAGACTATGGACACCTCCATGGAGGGCCTCACCCTCCCTGGGGAAATGAGGGGATATTGGAGGGGTTGGTGGGAGGGCACGGGAGGAGGGGAGGGAAAAGGAGAGGGACCTGGAATTGACATGTGAAGCAACCTTGTTTCTAATTAAAATTTAAAAATAAAAAAAATAAAATATAACCCTAAGAGGCTCCACTTATATTGGAAGGGAGATTACAGAAGACTTTTCTGCCCAGAGTTTCAGATAGGTATTTTATCTCAGGGACTGTATTCTTGATGTTTCTGGGGAAAATTTTTCATATAAACTACAAATTGGGAATGGGTTTTAGTAGATACAAGCATAAGTAACTGTTATTATCAATGCCTTTCCAGGTTACTATTCTTAATCTTGTATGAGCGCCTTCAAACACTTGCTAAGGGTACCTGGAATTTTAATTTTCTGAGGGTGTCAGAAGCTGGCCAAAGAGCTTGACGGCCCTGTTGTATTTCCATCCAGGTATCCAGATGATCTTAAAGGTCAGGTCATAAGTCTGAACAACGCCTGGGCTTGTCCTCTGCTATATTAAAAACTTTTAATAAAAACTGCCATTGTTTCTCTGGAAACAAAGATTTGACAGCAACATCACCTCATTAATCTGACATAGGTGGTGAAAGCAGGTTACTCTAAGGAGCCCCGTGACTTCCTCCTGAATAGTTCCTTTCCCAGCTGGTGACCCTGATATAAGGACAGCACTCTCATGTGGGTCAGGAGAGTGGGTGGAGGTGCAAAATGGAGCCATTGCATTCTCAAGAACCCACAGGGCTCCCATCTGCCACACACTGCAATGGACTCTAACACAGGCTGATTTCATCTCAAGGCAATGTTTACATTAAATGATATATCCGGACTCTGCATGCTCTCTTTTTGTACTTGGACCTGTGAAGTCCCGTGCTGGGGGAAAAATGCTCTCAGAAATAGCTCCATTCAGTAAAAGAACTGGAGCATTTTGGAAACAATCAAACCCTGTTTGATTTATACGAAACCCCAGTGAGGAGAGTTTTAAGAATGGGAGTTAGCAGGCAAAATTTTCCACATTATTTCAGAGCTGCTGCTTCCTTGCTGAACGCTGCTTGTTGCTTTTATAAATACTATGTCCTCCAGCTGGCACACCTCAACAGGATCCATTCAAACTGATTACATGGGACATTAAGCAATTCCGGTACCTTTCCCAATCAAAACCAAAGGTTATGTTATTCCCTCTATCATTTCCCTTGTACTTCTATTGGCCAGGGAAGGAGTTGGCGGTGCTGTAGAGACTGTTTCAAGGAAAAGCACAAGTGCTAGGCTTTTTTTCTTAGATGACATGCAGCGTTTAGCCTTGGTCATGTCCTTGAAGACACAGGTTCTTTTAGGTAGAACTACCATTTCCCAAAGGATGAGGAGAGAACAGGGGTGCCTCTGGTGGTCTTCACCTACTCCCGTTTCTTTTGTGGACGAGCTTTAGTGGATGAACCTTGCTGCAACCTGGTTGGCCAGTGATACAGGGTGGCATGCCGGTCTGGCATTTTGGAGATAACCATGATTTCTATCAGCAGAAAAAAATTGGCCAATTGACAAGGAAAGGTCAAATCAACAATGACTCTTTTGTGTCTGGACACAATTGGGACAGTAAACCTTTCACTGGTTCTAACAGAACCTCTGAAACATGACTATGTGGAGGCCCTGGGGAAAACCCCATGACTGCCTTTAGAACACATAAGGACTCTCAAGGTTACTATGGAGGTTACAGAGTGCAAGGAGCCTTGGGAACCACTCTTTTTAATGCCAGCAGTCCTATAGTATCTTTTTTTAGAAATAAGGCAGAAACCACAACAAGGCTTGAAAATAGAAATACATTGGTTAGCACAGGGGAATATTGGTCTCATACAGTTAACAACAACCATGCAGTCAAGGAAGAGTAGTTTGCTGATGAAATAGTCCTTGGGAATTGAGTTGGTACAATCAGTGCAGCGAGGAAAGGAATATATAAGAACATATTAAAATATGATTACCAATCATGTGGCTTACAGGAGAACTCTGGATCATTCTAAGGGCAAATGGACTAACATGGAACTTGGCAATCAAAAGCAAAGGAATGCATTCTCCCTAAAGACAGGGAAGATAGCAGAGAGGAGATGCATGGTTGCAAAGCGGTCGGCACTGTCAACATCAGCTGTACCCACAGATGTGAGATCACAGACTTGACCCATACACAGTGTGGAGAAAACCTGTATAAATCAGACAGATTATTGTCACCACAT